GGCCTCAATTTGTCTCTGAGGAGTTTAAACATTTCCTCACGAGTAATGGCATCCGCCAAATGACTTCGGCCCCCTTCCATCCGGCATCTAATGGCCAAGCCGAACGGATGGTCAGAACGGCCAAAGAGGCCCTGGGTAAAATGGATGGCCGAGTTACTAATGGGGCGGAGGCTCACGACCCGCTTGAACCGAATGCACCCAGACCTCACTGAAGAGCAATCCGAGCGTACCACGGCGCAACCGAAGGTGCGCATGTTTGAAAAAGGAGACAAGGTTTTCGGCCGAAATTATGCTAATGGTCACTTATGGCTTCCTGGGGTAATATCCGACTCTGTGGGTACTCGCATGTATGTGGTGCAGTTGACTGACGGTCGAATCTGGCGGCGCCACATAGATCAGTTAAGGAGGCGTTGGGCTACGGACAGCGCTGACTCTCCGACGGCTGAATCCCCTGATGTTGAGTGGAGTCCCCCAGAGCAGGCGGTGAGTACCGAAAGGCCCGGTACTGTCCCCGAGTCAGGGCAGACCCCTGTGTGCGGGGCTGAAACCCCAGTAGAGTTTGTGCCTGAACCAAGCTGTAGTGAACCCCACTCTGACCCACAACCTTGTATGCCCATGGAGCCTGCACCGCTCCGCAGGTCCCAGCGTTCGCGGCAAATGCCGACTTATCTGAAGGACTATGAATGTAATTATTGTGGGAATAACTGATGTACAAAAGTTTGATTGTCTGTATGTAAATAATAAAACATTTGGGATGATGGCTTAACTTAGGGGGGAGGAATTGTAATGTATTGAAACGTTTACATGAATCACCTCATAGGGCTCCTATGTTAAGCTTCGAGCCATACCAGGGCTCCTCTGAGCGAACTTCCTATTGGTCGCTTCGTAACAGCGACCAATCAGAACATACCATTCCCTAGGAGGGAAAGACTCCCATTGGTCCTTAACTAAGCAATCTCATTGGTTGTTAATTGTAAATAGGCGTGGCTACATTAGCCCGGTTATGTTTAAAAGGAGCATAAGCTCCCACTGTTTTCTGTTCTGGTTTCTTACTGAGTTGAGTGCTTGTTCGTTACTTCCAATAAAGCTGAATCACTTGCTGAATCACTCTAAGAGTCCTTTGTTAGTGCGATCTAACAATTCCTGTGTCGCATATTTGAATTTTGGTATGGAAAATAAGATGTATAACTATGTCCATGTGTGCCCCAGCTCAGCATAACTCTTGATCCATAAGCAGTTGTAAATGTGGCTCCTTGCTGCCTGCTGAGGTGCGATGCTGGTGGGTGGGGGCTGGTTTGCCTCCTCCAGCTGGAGGAGGGGTACATCGAGTGTTGTGACATTCAATGTTACAATGCTGGAGTGGGTGGAGCCGGCTCCTTAAAGGTCAGGCTCCGCCCACATCCTAGCAGTTGCTGCTTGTTGCTCAGCTCACCCTGCCGCCCTGTTTCTAGTGCAGGCTTATGCCGGTTGCCTTTTGGGGCCAGGTAGGGATTTTTTGCCTCTTCTCATGATTGGCTTTTTGAGAGGTGGTGTTTTCACTTACCTTGCATTGAGGACAGGGGACCTGAAAGAATTGGCTATGGTGGTTACCATTAAATGGGTTGGTCCCTTTGTTGTAGTGTGGGGAGAAAAACGGAATTGGTAAGTACCTGACACATTTCTGTTTGAAAATAAGGGGTCCACCAAGAATGGCCTTCAGGCCTTGTGGCTCAAGGCTGGAACTGGGGATCTCTCATTGGAGCTACCTGCTTAGGCTCATTCCTGCAGGCCGTGTGGCTTCGTGAGTGGCTTTCCAGGGTCGCTGACAACATGCCAGGCCGCCGATTGAGGGCCACAAGGATGGCTCAAGATTGGGGCAGGTGACTCGCTCAGTGGAGGGCTGGGAAGTGGTCAGAGGGTGACACCTGCCCTGTCTCTTGCTCATTTCTTGCACTAGTGGTATTCCCCTAGCCACGCTGTTAATAAATAGTTAATAAAGTGGCCCTTATATAAATCCAAATCAGCTTCCATCTCTTTATTCCAACTGGGGGAGCAATGAATGAAGCGCATATAAAAGCAGTGGTTCTCCGATTTGGAAACACGGCACATAAAGGGGGGGAAAAAGATAGGGCCAAGAGGAAGCTGCATATTCATTGCAAAGAACCCTATAGCCTGATTTATTTCCATGTCAAATATAACATCAGGAGTGTCAGAGAATAAATTAAGGCAACAGTTCAAAAGTTAGCAGTGGAGCAAGACAGGACAATTCATACACAAGTGGATACAAAACAAGCACCAACACTTCAAACCATCTGTTGCAGTCCAAATATCAGATACATAAATTGCTGGTTTTTCTCTGCCTTTCCTACAAAGCAGGCTGTAGACTAGTGAGCCAAACATTAAAATGCATTAAAGGGGAAATGAGAACATACAAAAACAAACAGTTCACACATTTCAATATTGTTACAGGGTGTCCTGAGAATTGTGTCTGTAAAAGTATCATCATGTTGGAAACCAGTGCATATCTGTAATAAAACAGGTGGGAAGGGATGTTGCTGGAATTCTGCTGCAGGAGTGCTAATCATCTGGACATATCCTTCTAAGATACTCTACTATACTTGCCTCAGAAAAAAAGTTCTTTTTTTAATGTGTCACAACTTTCCCCTCACAAATACCATGTTTTCATGTATGGCCAACGAAGTGTGAAAATCTGCAGCATGATTCAGCAGGCATCTGGAAAAACACTCTAGGCCTTAGCAAATCACTACCTTAACAGAAAACCTAATTGATTCTGATGTAAGCTAGTCTCCCAAAGCCCTCTTAATTCCAAACTACCCCTAGCTGATGCCCTTTGCTAAATCAGGACTGAACTGCATCACTTCACCCATTTTTGACAGACGTTCTCATTGCCCACTGACCTGTTCCACTCGGATCTCCAATTCCCCATTCACCTTCTTTCCTTGAAAATACTTAGCCCTGAGGGGGGAAAAGGAGAGAAACAGAGAGAGTTAAATAGATATAACAGATACTTATGTTGCCTCAGTTTTTATTTGCTTCTGTTTTCTCTTTCCTGGTCCTTTTTCATTGGACTTGGTTTACAAGGTATTTTCTCAGTTTCATTTCCATTGACTATGGAGCAGATGTGGGTTTGGACTTTCAGAATGATTTTTAAAATATCCTCAGGCACAAGGACTATATGTGGGAAAGGGTGATTTGGATGGACTATCCATATAATTTCTAGTGCAAAAGAAAAGGGAGAGCTGCTCAGAAAACAGGAGATGCTCACCCCTATTTAAGATGCAAGCTAGTGTTATCTCTGACATTTTCACAAGTCACTGCTATTCATATGAACCTGCCTTGCCATCAGATGATTTCCCAACGTACTAGACAGTACTGAGCAAAATGGACTGATACCGTCAATCAGTCCATTTTTCTCAGTACTGTCTAGTACGTTGGGAAATGCCTGGAGATTTGGAGGGTGGAGCCTGGGGAGGGCAGGGTTTGGAGAGGGAAGGGACTTCAGTGGAGTATAAGGCCATAGAGTCCACCCTCCAGAGCAGCCATTTTCTCTAGAAGAACTGATCTCTGCCACCTCAGGATCAGTTATAATTCCATGAGATCTCTAGCCACACCTGAATGTTGGCCACTCTACTGTCTATTTGGACTAGGATTGCCAGCTCTGGGTTGGGAAATACCTGGAGATTTGTGGGGTGGAGTCTGGGGAGGGCAGAGTTTGGGGAGGGGAGGGCAGGGACCTCAGAAGGGTACAGTGCCATAGAGTCCATGCTCCAAAGCAGCCATTTCCTCCGGGGGAACTGATTTCTGTCGTCTGGAGAACAGTTGTAAAAGCAGGAGCTCTCCAGACCCCGCTGGGAGGGGTCAATTAAACCTGATGGGGGAATATTTTAAACAAAGAACCACAGCCATCTGCAAGGCTCTCCCGAGGGCTGAAGAATGGTCGGCAGGCAAACTGTCGCAGCTGCTCCTCCGCTGATCTTCTCCTGACTGCTGAAGAAGGCTGGTCAGGCAAATGGCTGCTCGGCTGCTGAGGTAAACTGTTCGAATTGGAGTTTTGGTGGGAGCTGGCTCTGTAGGTGGGAATCAGGCACACCTTCTGATGGGCAGTTCAGGCAGCCAACTGATTTTGGCAGGCATAGAATGTTGCCATGCGAAAATACGTTTATATATAAGGGCAGGATTAGTATATATTCCCCTGGTGTGGTAGTTTATGTCTATTGGATGCAGCTTTTATTTATTTGGATCTAGACAACAAGGGTCCTAGTAGTCTAAAGAAGGGCATAAAAGCCTTTCTGTCATGTAATTAAGTTGATGTGCTTTATGGTCTGCTGTCAGTACACCAAAGTTACTATAAGCCGTATAAGGCTACCTGGTGCTGCTGAGTGCTACCCTAGGACCCAGTGGGGTTTGAGAACCTGAGTAATTACCTCATCCTGGAACCCACAAACAAAAGGAGAAATTATACTAAGTAGCAAGAGAAGTTTAAATGTTCCCCTGCTCAGAATTGGAGGCATTCTGACCTTCAAGATCGCAAGGAAATCTTGATAGCCTCTGTGTGTATACATATGCATTGGTGGACGAGTGAAACACACACTACATTTTCCACCCTTAAAGGTCTGAGTATCATATCCAGAGCAGTTGCTTGGACCCTAGAAACACTGCTGAGAAGTAACAGAATGTACTGTTCCTAGCTCATAAATCCACCTCTTGCTGATCATGTCATAGACCCCTCCTGCTTGTTCTTGGCCTCCCCTATACATCACTCTGTTGTTTCCTTTGCTTTCTTTCCTCCAGCTTTAAGAACATAAGAACATAAGAGACGCCAATGTTGGATCAGGCCAAAGGCCCATCCAGTCCAACACTCTGTGTCACACAGTGGCCAGAAATACCAGTGCCATCAGGAGGTCCAGCAGTGGGGCCAGGACATTAGAAGCCCTCCCACTGTTGACCCCCCCAAGCACCAAGAAGACAGAGCATCACTTGCCCCAGAGCCCCTAGCTATACCTTGTGGCTAATAGCCACTGATGGACCTCTGCTCCATATGCTTATCTAATTCCCTTTTGAAGCCGTTCATGCTTGTAGCACCCACCACTTCCTGTGGCAGTGAATTCCATGTGTTAATCACTCTTTGGGTGAAGAAGTACTTCCTTTTATCCATTCTAACCCGACCGCTCTGCAGTTTCATGGAGTGCCCACGAGTTCTTGTATTGTGAGAAAGGGAGAAAAGTACCTCTTTCTTTACCTGCTCTTTCCCATGCATAATCTTATAAACCTCGATCATGTCACCCCTCAGTCGTCTTTTCTCCAAGCTAAAGAGCCCTAAGCGCTTTAACCTTTCCTCATAGGGAAAGTGTTCCAACCCTTTTATCATTCGAGTTGCCCTTTTCTGCACTTTTTCCAAAGCTATAATATCCTTTTTAAGGTGTGGTGCCCAGAACTGCACACAGTATTCCAAATGAGGTCTTACCATTGATTTATATAGGGGCATTATTATATTGGCTGATCTGTTTTCAATACCCTTCCTAATAATCCCCAGCATAGCATTGGCCTTCTTTATTGCAGTCACACACTGTCTCGACATTTTCAGTGAGTTATCCACTACAACTCCAAGATCTCTCTCTTGCTCAGTCTCTGCCAGTTCAGACCCCATCAATGTGTATTTATATTTAGGATTTTTGGCTCCAATGTGCATCACCTTGCACTTGGCCACATTGAACCCCATTTGCCATGTTGACGCCCACTCGCCCATCTTTGACAGATCCCTTTGGAGTGCCTCACAATCCTCACTGGTTTTCACCACCTTGAACAACTTTGTATCATCCGCAAATTTAGCCACTTCACTGCTTACTCCCATCTCCAAATCATTTATGAACAAGTTAAAAAGCAGTGGACCAAGTACTGATCCCTGTGGTACCCCACTGCTTACCACCCTCCACTGAGAAAATTGCCCACCTACACTCACTCTCTGTTTTCTATGAACTAGCCAGTTTTTGATCCATAAAAGGACTTGTCCTTCTATCCCATGATTTTTGAGCTTACTTAGGAGCCTTTGATGAGGAACTTTATCAAAAGCTTTCTGGAAGTCAAGGTAAATAATATCTATTGGATCCCCCTTGTCCACATGTTTGTTCACCCCCTCAAAGAACACTAACAGGTTAGTGAGACATGTTGCACATAAACAAGGAAGCAAGGCTGACAAAGGTCTTTAGGACACTTGAGGTTCTCAGAACATCTTCCCAAGAACATGCCACACAGCCAGTTTCCATTCTTGCCAGTGGAAGCTAATGACATCAGAATTTAAGAAGAAGAAGTATTAGATTTATACCCCGTCCTTCATGCTTACAATCTCCTTTCCCTTCCCCTCCCCACAACAGACACGCTGTGAGGTAGGTGGGGCTAAGAGAACTCTTTCGAGAACTGCTCGTGAGAGAACAGCTCTGGAAGAACTTGTAACTGATTCAAAATCACACGAGCAGCTGCATGTGGAGGAGTGGGGAATGTCATCCCACCGGGCGCGTCTAGGCTTGCCAAGTCCCCCCGGGGGGCAGGGAAACCCCCCCCCAGGCCCGTTTCCCCACCACCAGCGGATCGGGCCCCGGGGGGAACCCCACCCCGGCGTGCGTGTCACCAAGAAGTGACGTTATGACAGCGGGCACGCTGGGGGCGGGGCCAGGGTCATCTGAGGGAAAACTCTATGGTTTTCCCTCGGATGGTCGTGGCCCCGCCCCCAGTGTGCCCGTCGTCATAACGTCACTTCCTTGTGATGTGCGTGCGCGCTCCAGCCGCGGACCGGGAGTCCCCCGGTAAGAAGATTTTTCCACTTGGCAACCCTAGGTGCATCATGCGGGGGACACTCTAGCATTTGGCTAAAAACTGTATGGCGACCGTATAATTTTTTTGCCAAATGCTAGTGTGTCCCCTGCACAACATGCCCGATGCAATAATGTCACTTCCAGGTGATGCCATTGTGATGCATGTGCTTTGCGCGCATGCCAGAAGCTCCAAGAATCCGAGCTGGAGCCCCCACTGGCAGCCAGGTAAGACCTGGCAACCCTGCCTCCAGACTACAGAGTTCAGTTCCCCAAAAGAAAATGGCTGTCAGATGGTGGACTCTATACACTGCTGAGATCCCTCCCCTCCCAAACCCCACCCTCCCCAGGCTCCACCACCAAATATCCATGAATTTCTCAACTCAAATTTGAGTTGAGCATGGAGGTTCCACACACCTTCTGTCTCTCTTCATTTTTGCAGTTGTTACGTCATTTTATTTTCTCAGAGACATGTCTTTAAAAAGTCAGGTTTTTTAAACAAGGATGTTGTCATCATTGACAGCATCTCAGCACCCTCCCCCTTTTGTTGCACACATGCTATATTAATAGACTACTAGAAGAGGGGCACATGTATGAGAAGTGCCAAAGTGTCCCTATGGAAAAATGTCCTCCACTCTAAGGTCCTCCACCCCCCAGTATTTGGATGCTTTAGGCGGCAAACTGGTTTTAAAAGGTTTTCCTCTTGCAAGACAGCAAGCAAATAGAAGTAAATTACCTATCCAGTCAATTGCTTCCAAGCGGCTGTACTTAATGTCTCTGAACATCCTCTGCCTTGAACCACCTCTGAACATCTCCGGCCTTGAAAACCCTACAGGGTTGCCATAAATCGATTGCAACTTGATGGCACTATCTACCACCCAGCAGCCAAGAACTATGAAGTAGGCCAGTGGGGCTGCTCAGAGACACGCCCCACCAGAACTGAAAGATAACACCTCCCCAAACCAATATAATATCAAATTTCTACAAAAAATATAGTAAAGGCAGTGGGGCACTGGATATCAAGCCACAGGAAAGACTTAAAGTGATATATCATTATCAGGGAATTTTTTTAAATTAAAAATACTTGCCTATGCAAGGGGAAAAAATCCTTTCTGTGGAGGAAAATTAGGGTCCAGGACATATCAAGAA